ACATAAGAGACTATCCCTGGAAGAAGCTTTCCTTAGCAGGGTGTAATCTAGTATTTTAAAACTTGTTTCGATCTGAGCTAACTTTCTACTTGCGTGACCTTGAGAACATTATTAATCGGTCTGAGTCTCCCTTCTTCTGTGTAGAGGCAATAACATCCATTTAGTGTTCTAGACCACCTTATCAGGTTAAAGACCCTACCTCTATTTGGGGGGTGTACTGGGGATCGAACTAGGGTCCTTGAGCTTGTGAGGTAGGGGGTGGAACCACTGAGCTAAATCCCGGGCCCCCTTTCCTCTCTTATTACAAAGAACTCAAAGCTAAATTGGGCAGTAAAGATGTGGGAAAAAAAAAAAAAACAGCATAAAGAAATATTTAGGACAATCAAGACACATTCACTGAAGTCCAGAATTGTAAAAGGAGAGAAACTACTATATCTTTGTGCTTCCCCCTGGGGATAAATAGCAGTGATTGATATTTTAAATAGATTTCAATCACCTGGGTTGGGGGCCAAGGTCTTAACCCAGCCTTTTGAGACTTCGCTGGACTGCGGGCGGGAGCCGCCCCCGAGCACAATCCGGCCGCGGGAGGAGCCAACTTTGAGGTTGGGGCCCCGCGCTCCACCGGCGGGGACGGAGGGTGACGGCAGCCGCCCCGTCCTGCCCTCAGGTCCCCAGCATGTCCTCCTCGGCCCCCGCTGCAGAGGAAGAGGGAACCCCCGCCCAATCCGCGTCCGAGAAGGAGCCCAAAATGCCCGACCCCCGCGAGGAGAGTGAAGAGGAGGAGGACGACGACGAGGAGGAGGAGGACGAGGAGGAAGAAAAAGGTGGGGAGGAAGCCACATCCTTAAGTGCTGAATATTTTTCAGACCTGAGTTTTTTATCTTATTTTTTAAAGGAAGCAGCTTGATTTTTGGCGCCTACAGGCATTTAATCGGAGTGAATTTTAGCAAAAATGTACGCCAAATCTGTTTTTATGTTGGAACAGTGGCAGAGAATCGGCTTTGTGCATAATGATTTTTTAAAAAATATTTGTTAGTGTTGATCTCACTCGAGAATGCAGCTGACCTCCCGCCTCGCAATACACTTTCCTAACATTTCATCGTTTGACAGGAAGTTTGTCTCAGATCTGTCTTTTATTTTAAAGTGTTGTGTGTGCGGTTTTCAAGTTGTTGCTAAGTGAATGTTTTGATCTTGCTAATTTCATTACGTAATGTTTTGCCTTTTGAAGTCATTGTAAGGTTTTATTTTTATATTTGCTGAGCTTCAGCAAAGGTCTTTTCTGCTGTTTTGACGAGAGAACACCGGAGAAAGCTGTTGCTGTCTGAGAAAGTAGTTAAAAATGAAAGAGGTGAACTATGGAAGAAAGTTATGAACCCACAGCGGTCTCGGTTTTGAACTGCGTCTGCCCTGCAGGAAGGTGGTAGTAACTCTTGATGGACTGGAGGCATAAAATAAGAAATGTAGTGCTTTATGGATTGGCCCTTTGTCATTTATTCAAGATCTGAACCCCGCCACCTCTTTGAGTTATGCCAGCTTCCGGAGATGTTTCAGCAATTTATAAATCCGTACTATCTTTGCATTCTTTGGTGGAATCAGCCCAGTCTACTTTTATTTAGTCTATGGCTACAATTCAGGTGAATTGGGAGGAGGTTGACGGTCTCTTTCAAAGCCAGGTTTATACCGTCAGTTTTAAGTTTAAATCAGTCCACTTTGTAAATACTGCCTGGGTTAAAATCGATTACAAAATGGGCCTTTTGCCTGAAGTGGCATGTACCCTAGTAAGGAACTACTTATTTCCGTGTTTAAGTGCAGCTTTGCTTTTAATTGAAAACTTTAATATGAATTATTGCTTAATATGAATATGTATTTGTATTACTGTAACTGAAAGTTTGGCTGTGATATTTCACTCCTAGTCAAGACATTCTCAGCATTTTTCTCCCAGTTATTTATCTTTTAGTCTCTTAAGAAGCTATGGGGCTGGGATGAGATACCACAAAAATTGTGAATTTTCTTGGTCAGGAAAAAATTGCGTAGTTTATGTAAATACTATAAATGGCGAAAACGCTGATCTTTGGGGTCAATGAGTGGCTCAGAGATCTGGCTAAAACCAGATCTGGTTCTAGACAAATAATTTGTGAATTTTGATTTAACACCCCACCACCCACCCTACCACACACATACATCCCAGGGCTGGTATTCAAAACTAGGGCCTTGTGCATGCTCTGCAGACACTAAAATTGACCTATACCTTCAGCTCTTGTGATCTTTTTAAAAACATGATTTTATAAAAAGTATATTGAAGTTTTGTAGTTGTCTGATTCGTTACACTCATTAAATTTTTTTATTTCTACTTGTTGAGATGTTTGTGGGACAACTGGCACTGTTAAAGTTCTATCATAGTTCTGGATATTTAATTAGTAGAGAAGCATTTTGGAAGCAAGGCAGTAAAATTAATGAAGTCTGACAAAGCCTCAAGATTAGCAAATTGGCAATGATTTTGGAGAAAGGAGAGAACAGACTGGTGGAAAGATGACTCCTCTTTTAGTCTTTTACATCTGAGTGAGTGGCATTAGTGCGGTTTTTTTGGTTTGTTTTTTAACTTTTAAAACAGGGTCTCACTATGGTTCAGACTAGTCTCATACAGCAAGCAGTCCTTCCTCAACCTCTGAAGTGCTGGGATTACAAGTATGCACTACCATACCCAGTTGGTATTAATGTTTTCTGAAAAATATTAACAGTGATGATAAAGTTTGGGGATGATTATATAATAACTTGTTTTGTATATGGGTTGAGTGTAGGTACCTGTAAGATGTGGAGTTGGAACTGTCCGGGAGGCTGCCAGATGTTCAGTTAATCTGAATCTCATAAAAAATGCTCTGGCAAGTTACTTATGGAGATATTTAGAAGCAGGTAAACAGTTTAAATGCGAAGGATGTTGAGTGATCATATGGATTGCTCTACAGTGTTTATTGTATATATCAGTGTCGGTGTTTACTTGCTAGCGCCCCTTTCTTATCTTTCAGACTCAGTGCTCATGTTTTGTTCCCTTTTTTCCTGAGATCCTTCCTTGGCATACAAAACTTTATTTGTATTTTAAGGTGTTTTATCATCATTATGTTAAGAGTATGATATCTGTGTGTCATTTTCCTATTAGAGATGGTCATTTTCAAAAAATAGTCTGTGTTTTAGTCATCTGTTCATTTCTGTCAAGTGCAGCTTTCTATAAAATGAGCATTCAGGTGAATGACTGTCAACAATGTGTAATGTTATTGTAACAATTTATTTGACTTTATTTCAATCAGGTTGTTGTTTTTGTTTTTGTTTTTAGGTACTGAGGTTCGAACTCGGGTCCTTGCACTTGCAAGGCAGGTTGCAGAACCACTGAGCTAAATCCCTGGCCCTGTTTTTTGTTTTTTTCCCCAGACAAGGTCTCGCTGTGTTGTTCATTTCAGGCTGGCCTTGAACTCACACTATGTAGACCAGACTGTCCTCAAACTCATGGTGGTACTCCTGCCTCAGCTTCCCAAGTGCTGGGCCTTGTGCTCACCATCATGCACAGTGGTAAATGGTTTTAGATAAAGTAATACCTTAAACTTTATAAAGCATACACTCATTTTCTGAGTCATTTTCTGTTGTAGGCGGTTTGGTCTAAACAGAATTTTAACTCTCAGAATGATTTATTTTCATCATTATGAACTTGTAGAATTTTTTTAGCTGGTAATATGTAAACTGTACCAAAATACAGTTGTATATGACTAGCTCTAGTATTCTTCAGCATAGGAGGAGGACTGTAATTTTCAACAGTGTATGTATTTAAGGCACTGGGGGTGTAGTTCAGTGGTAGAGCACTTTCCTAGCATGCACATGGCCCTGGGTTCAACGTTCCCAGCTCAGGGAAGAATGTATATGTTTGATGAATTTGAGGAAAGGAGTTCAAAAGCTGCCAAAACAAAGAAATGAGATGGCAAAAGTTCATTTGATCATTACACATATGTATTGAATTATGACACTGAGCCTTGTAAATATGCACTAAATAAACAGCACCTGGATGATCATTCACAAATAAAACACCTGGATTTTAACAGCAGTAATTGTAGTTAAACAAAAGTTTTGTTTGTGGTTATTTTTTTTGTTTTGTTTTCTGTTTTTAAGTGGGTCCCTTTGAGTTTGCCAGGTAAATAAAATGTTATGCTAAAAACTTTCATGTTCTGACTACCATGCTCAGGAGATTGACATCTTGAATGTGGGCTATATTCCTACATGTTTGCCTAGTAGATTTAATATAGTCTTTAGCTTTTTGTTTAAGAAATATTACATTGATTTCTAGAAAAGAGTCTCATCGTGGAAGGCAAGAGGGAAAAGAAGAAAGTAGAGAGGTTGACAATGCAAGTATCTTCTTTACAAAGAGAACCATTTACGATTGCACAAGGTAAAGTGTTCCTGTATTTATTTCATTTTATGGTGAAAATGCCCAAATACAGAAAAATGATGCTTACCAATGATTAGTGTGAACAGAGTATTTAGTGCTTGAGAAGTGCTAATAAACTTTTGGTATAGTAATTTTATTTAATTTTCCCCATTAAAGCAGTGATATATAAATAATGCTATACAATTTTTTTATTATTTTTAAATCATGCTAAAAGTCATTCTCATGAAAAATTAACTTTGTAAATGTATAACCAGTAGGTAATTGTGGTATTTTTTTTTTTTTCTAGGAAAGGGGCAGAAACTTTGTGAAATTGAAAGGATACATTTCTTTCTGAGTAAGAAAAAAACAGATGAACTAAGAAATTTACACAAACTGCTTTACAACAGACCAGGCACAGTAAGACCTTTTCTTATATACTTTTAGTTTATTTACAGGTTTATGTATTAAATAAAGTAGTTCACAATAGAACCATAATTTTAGTTCTGCAGAAGACTTTAATGAGCCAGGCACAGTACCACAAGCCTGTAATCCCAGCTACACAGGAGGCTGAGGTAAGAAGCTAGAAAAAGGTTAGCCAGGGAACCTGAAACCCTGGCTCAGTAAGAGAGCTAGGGGTAGTGTAACTCAGTGGCAGAGAGTTTACCCAGCATGTTAAGGTCCCAGGGTTCAGTCCCCTTTACCACAAAACTCAAGATTGATGAGTTCAATTTCTGTACTGTACGAGTGAGCAAACTGGACCTTTTAAGACTTATAGCAGATCACATAGGTTATATTAGCAGTTAGGACTATAATGCCTGAAGCTTTCTAGTGCTTTTCTTTTTATTTCAAACTGAAATTTCAAATTACAAAATCCAAAATGATACTTGTTGTACCAGAGATCAAACTTGGAACTGCACCATTGAGCTAAATTCCTGGCCCCAAACTGATACTTTTTATCTTTAACTATATTAGAAGAAATTTATTTTAGGGGTATTCTGGCCATTCAGACTAAATGATTCAGTGTAATTATATCATTCTGAGCAAATACCTGACAAAAGTGGGTGATAATTCTTTATCAAAGGATGATGTTTTATTATGCTTTATGTATAACTTAGTATTTTATATAATTAAAACTGCTTTGCATTGTGTGTGTGGGAAAGAGTGTCTGAAGCATGGTGTAATTTATCTTCATCTAATAATCTCATTCAGTCCTCACTATCCAAATTCCTCAAGTCTCAACTATTAAATGGTATTGACAGTTCGCTACTTCCTAACTGGGAAAATAAATATACTAGCAACTTTTTATTACTGACTTCCCATATCTCCTGATGCTTTCAAATAACTTGTAAAAATACCCAGAAGGGAATTCACTCAAATTCAAACTCTATTTTTATAGAATTATTTTTATAGCATTTTATAGGATTTTTATGATTTTAATATATTAGTAACATTTTTCAGTTTTGAACAGTAAACATAATAAATCAATATTGTGTCTTGGAGACTTGAAAATAAAGATGTTGGCTTTGAATTTTCTTTTGTACATTACTAGATAAATAGCATTAATAAGAAATATTTCAGGTGTCCTCGTTAAAGAAGAATGTGGGTCAGTTCAGTGGCTTTCCATTTGAAAAAGGGAGTATTCAGTATAAAAAGAAGGAAGAAATGTTGAAAAAGTAAGTTATGTTGGTAAATATCCTGTTTATTTTTTATTAAAAAAATAATTACCTATTCCTTTTCAGTAGGTTGCTGTTTTGTTTTTGTTTTTTTGTTTTGTTTTGTTTTTTACATTAGGTGCCAAAATTTGACTTGTTTGTGGTATTAACTTGGGCTATTCATTACTATCCAACAAATGATGACTATCAGAATTATTGAAAACTCTTACATTTTTGTTTCCTACAAGAGTTATATGCACAAGTTAATTATTCACAAAGTCCAGAATTCAGAAGGTCTAGAGAGAGTTTCCTCTTCCTATCCATCAGCTTTCTGTTCGTTTTTTTTTGGACTGGGGATCGAGCTTGGGTCCTTGCGCTTGAGAGGCAGGCACTGAAACCACTGAGCTAAATCTCCAGCCCCCTCTGTTCCTTTTTAAAACCATTTAAGCAGTTTTGAACATCATCAGTTTGCTAGAAACAGTATCTTTCACCATAATGCAAAAAAAGGTCATGGCTCTTAGGAAGTGTAATATTTTATCACTAGCCAGAAGAATCAATAGGTTCTATAATATTGAAAATTTTTTACATAATTTTCTAGTGAGTTTACTTAAAGTCTATTTATTCTTATACTGCCTTTAAAACCTAACTGATAAGTGGTGTTTTCACTTTTCTAAAAATCACGTCTTACTGTACACTAGCAAGATTAAAGTTCAGAGAAAACAGGTTGTTTTCTGGCTGTTATCTTTATATTGTGGTGAATCTTTATAAACTCCTTGGTTTTTCTCCCATTTGTGTTTTCAGGTTTAGAAATGCTATGTTAAAGAGCATATGTGAAGTTCTTGATTTGGAGAGATCTGGTGTAAATAGTGAACTGGTGAAGAGGATCTTGAATTTTTTAATGCATCCAAAACCTTCAGGCAAAGTGAGGATCAATTTTTACTGTTTCATTAACAAATCACAGTGATTGATGGTCTTTTTCTTTTTTCTATGAAATAGAAGTTTAAGCAGTATTACACTTGACATTCCATAATGTCTACATTCAAAGACTGTGCCTTCTATTGATACAACTGCAACACTTTCATGATAGAAATAATACAGAAAGTATAGGAATATGTTTCCTCATATCAGGTATGAGAGGTAGAAAGAAAAGAGTAATTGAATTAATGCCAGATAAGGTAAAATATAAACTAAGGCTCTGTGATTTAAGGCATTGGAACAATGGAAACAGATTGAAGTGAGAATGAGTTGTTAGGCTGGGGGATAAGAGAACAATTTGTAATCAAGAGCAGGAAAGATAAGATGGGGAGGTATATTGGAAGTGGATTAGATCCTGAAATGAAGTTTTAGAAAAGTAACACAACAAAGATGATCCTACATTGAGTTTCCAGAATCCTCAGCAGAAGCTTAGGAGCTTGGACAAGGAAGACAAATAGTCTGCTAATTTTCCCACTCTTACTAAAATTTAGTGTTCCCCTAATTACATAACTGCAGATGGTATGGGTTACTAAAAACATCTATTGAAGTGTTACTTAGATGACCTTGCATTTTCACTTTAAGACTGGGCGGCTGTTTCATAGTCCTTTATTTTGATAGATTCTGAAATATAAAGAGTCCCTGCTAGCCTAGGGGTTTAGGACCATACCATTTGGTAAGGGGAGGAGAAAGGCACGAAGAATTTTAAAAACCAGAAAATAATAGCTCTGTGACTCCTTGATTTGCCTGTGCTTGATCTTGCTCACTTTATCTGGACTAGGACAGAGAAAGATAAAGATAGTCATGGTGCTACTTTGGTTATACAGCTATGAACACAAGGCATATGATGATTTCAATGTCTCATATTGGCTTATTTGAAGATAAGAGATTATCTTTTTATTTTCTGATTTAACTATAGCTACCTATCCTTGAACTGTTTTAGGATTTCATGTGGCAAGTTGATGGCTGTTTGCTCAGAAGTAATTACGAAGTTGCCCAAGTTACAAAGGATACATTTATACTCATTTTCTCAATGATTTTCAAATTTACTGGTTTTAGGGCTCCATTACCCTTTTTTAAAAACAGATCAATGAGGATCTCAAAATAAACCATTTTATTTTACGAGCAGTTTCATTCTAAAATAACATGCTCACAAAATCTATTTTATGCAAAAAAAATAGTGAGAAGAGCGGCACTTTCTGGTCATCTCTTCAGTGTCTGGTTTCAGAGAAAAGTTTGCCAGGTGTGGTGGTGTTATGCCTGTAGTCCCAGCACTTGGGAGGCTAAGGCAACGTGAGAGGAGTAATGTGAGTTCAAGGCCAGTCTGAACTATACAGTGAGACCCTGTCTCAAGAAGGAATAAAAAGCTCAATTCTTTTTTGCTTCTCCCATGATGTACTTGCTTGAAGTGTGTGAAGAATATTCAGTCTCTCACATGTACATAGTTAGAAAAAGGAAAATTGTAAAAGTCCTTTCTGATAACTGTGGCTCTTCTCTTTTGGTGTAACAACTCATCCACAACTGGTAGTTTCATAAATAAGTTATAATGTTTAAGTTTGAAGCTATACTAATTTTTTATTTTTTACTTATATATAGTTTTGTATCATGCATTTACCTTTAGAAAGGCAGGTTGTTTGAACAAGCGAAAGACTGTCCTGCAGTTTATTTGTTGGTAGCCAAAGAACACTATTCCACAAAATACTTTCTCTCAGTTTTTGTGTAGGTGACAAGTTACTCCCCAAAAGATAGGATATTCCTGGGAGAGAGACCTATGGTTCTGCTGATCTCATGAAAAATATTTCCTAAAGTTATCACAAACATTTATATAATTGAAAATATAAGTATATTGAGTATCCCTTAATCTGAAACGCTTGTGAACAGAAGTTTTAGATTTTGAATTTTGAATTTTTTTCTGAAGTGTTGCTGAGTTTTCTTTTTGGTAGGGATGTTGCATATACATAATGAGATGTCCTAGGGATGGTATTCAAGCCTCGACACAAAACCCATTAGGGTTTTACATGTACCTTGTACATGCAGTCCAAAGTTAATTTTACACAGTATATTTAGCACCCCTGCAGTGTGACTGCAAATTCTGTCACATGAGGTCAGGGGTGGAGTTGCCACATATGGAATCTTGTCAGCATTTACAGAGGTTTGGATTTTGAAGTATTTTGTATTCGTATTTTCTTCATATCATAGCATGTGCCTTAATTTTCTGCCTGTTGTAGAAAGTAAAGCAATGGGAAAAATTCTCATAAGCTCAGAAATAACAATTCCTTAATGTATACATTTTCAGATGCTTTATGTAAGGCTATTTTACAGTTTTTAATTTTAGAATTTAGCAAATACTTTCCTAAAAGCATTTAAAAATTAAATTTGTTGATCAATATAAAGTTATGTGATTTGCTCTGCTTTTAAAATATGTTTGGTTTTAATTGAATATCAGAGTAGTAGCCATGCATCTATTTTGTGGTTCTTAATTAGCTTTGTTTGTAATTAACATACCCAACATTTATTGCTTATTCAGAAGCATCAGTGAGAATGTGGTCTTGCATTATTGAAAGCAGAATTCAGGTAATACGGTACTTCATTCACAAATGGCAGGGTGTGTATTTGGTGATCAGGTTTTATTTTCCTTATAGATAAGATGGTTGCTTCATGGGCCCTCTAAAACAAGCAGCTCCTCTATCAGTGACAGTTTTAATGATTATAAAAAAATGAAATAAATTGGCTAACTTAAAATACTGCCTTGATAAAGTATAGGCAACTGTCTGAGCTTGATATAGTATGCATTTAGGCATCTAGTCTAGTGTCAGAACCTAGATACATACTTTCCTAAGCCTTTGCACATCTTTTGCTGGATATGTAGAACACAAATGACAGTATTGGTAGGTAATACAATTTTAGATTAATCTGACATTGTTAAAAATAAATTCTTAATAAAGTTGCTAACCATGTAAATATTCTTGAGAATTGAGAAGTGGTTATCAGAAAGTCATTTGACTTAGAAATATACCTTATTGGTGTTATAAATTTTTTTATGCAGCCATTGCCAAAATCTAAAAAATCTTCTAGCAAAGGCAGTAAAAAGGAACGGAACAGTTCTGGAATGGCAAGGAAGGCAAAACAAACCAAATGTCTTGAAATTCTGTCAGATGAATCTAGTAGTGATGAAGATGAAAAGAAAAACAAGGAAGAGTCTTCAGATGAGGAAGATAAAGAAAGTGAAGAGGAGGTAAAATACTTATTTTCTATGGAGAGTGTTAAAGTATTCTTGGTATATAATAAATACAGCCAGAAAACAACTCCATATTGATTGTTTTTGATTGTGAATATGCAGAAATAAGAGCAAACCCATTTCTTTTGCTTAAGGAACATTTAGTTGTTTGATTTGTTTTGTTTGGTACCAGGGATCAAACTTGGGACCTGGCACTTGTGAGGCAGGCAGCAAAACCACTGAGCTAAATCCTGGGCCCTGGAACATTTAACAGTTGGAATACAGGGAAGTTAATGTGACCTGGATCTGAGGTACTGTAGGCCTTGAGCTAGACTCAGAAGTCTACAGTAGGTAAATGTAAGGGAAATCCACATATCCTGGACAGGAACACATAGGAGCAAATTCTTACAGAATTTTTTTCATAGTATATTAGTATCATATTTGAACTGATTTCTTTTTCATGCAAAAACAAGAGTTTAAGTACTTTTTTTCTTCCCCCTTATTGAGAACTATTTAATGAAAAATATATTGGGAGTTTATTTGATCGGTGGGAATTCCTGCCATTTTCTATCTATCTGTAAAATGTTGCGAATACTTAAGCTTCCAACATGAAATGTTAAGAGAACTGATGAAGTAACTAAAAGATTTAACTTTTGTTGTTTGACTTAGTCAAGTAGTTAAGGAAAGTTGGTACTGAAGATGAGTTCCTGGATTGGTAGTATTTTGATCGTGTTTTGAGGTCTTCCTTCAGAGTTCAGAATTTACTCTGTAAATGGTATAATCTTCCTTATCTTTTTTAGGGACTTGACTAATTCTGGCTTGACATTTTGGGCTAAATAATTCTTTGTTGTGGGAGCTACCTTCATTCTCTAGTTGTAGCAATCCAGGATGTCTAGATAACCCCCACACCCGCAAAGAAGGCACCATCTCCAGTTGAGCACCACAGAGGGATTAAAAATGTCCTGTTTTGTTTGTGTGTGTAGTGTTATATTTGTCTTGAGGTATTTAAATTTTATCTATGTTTTAATGTCATTTTATATAAAGACATCTGTAAAACTAAGTATGAGATACTTAATAATTTGAAGAGATAGCTACAAATCTAGGAGGCTGCATCATAAATAACCTAATATATTTTTGGCATGATAGAAAATGAGTAATTTGATGACTTAAGGCTTTGGGGGATCAGACATTGGAAGGAAAACATGCTGGTTTGTATTTGTAGCAGTTTAAAAGTAATTGTGTCTCATGTTCAAATTTTATGTCACATATCATTTGCCATTTAAAGACAGCATGAGAAGTTGTCATAGAATGTGTGCATTACATTATTTTAGAGACAAAGCATGAACCTTAGCAACTGAGTGAAATCCCAACTCTCACTTGGATTGACATTGTGTAACTTTGGGCAAAGTTATTTAAACTCTACCTCTATTTCCCATCAGTAAAATGGAGATAATAGTAATATCAACCTATTAAATCCTTAGAAGTATTTAATATTATCCACGTATCGAATGATTATTTAAAATAGCACCATTGCCAGAACATGTACTATGTAAATATTAGTTGCTACTATTACTGTTAGAGTTAAGATTGCCTTTTATGACAAGTTAAATTTCAACATCTAATCTCCCTATCGTTGCCAAGGTGCAGGTTTAAAGTGAAAATATCTTATACTTATTCTTACATCCAGATTTTTGTCCCATTCTGAGTTAGTTTTTTTCTCTGATTTATAATCATATTGATTTTTGGATAATGACCACATGTAGAACTGTTCCACTAAAGAAGTTCAGTGCAATAAACTAAGGTGTATTGTTAGAAATCCAGGTCAAATGATAGAAATTCATGAAAAACATAAAAATGCATTTACACACATTAAGTCACAATATAAATGCTATCTCAGTATTCTGTTAGAGGTATTTTTCCTGCATGGACTTGTTCTGATAGGCTTCATAAGACATAATTCCAGTATAGTTTAGATTGTGGGATATACCACCATAAATTTCCCTCAATAAGACTAGACATTCTTGGGCAGGGGACTTGGCTCAGTGGTACTGTGCCTGCCTCGCAAGTGCAAGGCCCTGAGTTCAATACCCAGTACCCCATCCCACCCCCCAAAAAAGAATAGGCATTCTTCTTATTCTAAAATCCCTTTAGACTTAGGACTATCCTCTTTCTGGCAGGAGAAACAGTATGTTCTATGGCATTTGTTTTTCTTTATTCTTCCATTTTTATGAAGAATCAGTTTATGGCAGCCATGTTAGGGATGTCATAAGTGGAGGTACTTTTGGTTTTTATTATGAAAGGACCCCTTTTGTAAAAGACCATGAAGAAAAATTGTACGTTAATTAGAAAAGTTATGGATTGCCTATAGATTTTTTTAGTTTTTCTATTGACGGTTTGAGATTTTTCTTTATTAAGTAAATATGCTGCTTTAGGCTGAGCTTCTTGATCTATTTTAGATTCTTAAAATCTAAACTGAAGATTAATTTTACCTTTACCAGTTTCCTCTATAAATTGAGAGATTTGGACTCTAATTGGTAGTTCAAGTGTACTCTGCATTATGTTGTTACAGTGAAAAGTTTTACATAGATACAGTTCAGTTGTAGTTGTCTTTTGGCAGGTTATATGAGGTTGAAATATTACTGATCACCTTGCTAATTTTTGTATTTAACTTTTAACTGTAGAACAGGGTGCTTAAATCCTAAGTAAATTCATTATTTTAAAAATGAAGTCACTAGTTCTAACAGTTAACAGAATTGACAAGTTCTAAAAAGTCTTTTTTAAAACTAGATGCTGGGAAAGCTGGGCATTTAGTTCAGTGCGCTACACTTGTCTTGCAAGCGCAAGGTCCTGAGTTCGATCCCCGGTACCCAAAAAAAACTTGATGTTAGGATTGAGCATATTAGCTAATAATTGCTAAAACCTTTGTGGTTTTCTGTTCCTATGCTTGTTTATTTATATAATACAAAGTGAGTCCTTCACAATAGTTTTGTAATCTTTTCCTAGTCATAAACTGATATTAGGAGGTGCTTTTTCTGAGAATAACTTTGGAATTCCTTTATTAAAAGCACCATTCTGAATTTCCTAATTAGCTTCTCTTGGACATAGGCTTTTTAGGACAAATCAAGGAGAACAGCTGGAAAGATAACAGACTGAAAATCAAACTAATTTCCAGATCGGATTAGCATCTTGAGCAAGTGAGATTAAACAGTGCTTTTTTATGCTTTTCACAGGTGTTAACCTGGAGCATGGAGAAATTATTTAGAGAGTAAAGAAAAAAGAAAGGGAAGGAGGGGATTTAGCTCAGCGGTTCGGTGGCCTGCGTCGCAAGCGCAAGGACCTGAGTTCAATCCCCGGTACCGCCAAAAAAAAAAAAAGGAAAAAAAGAAAGGGTAAACATTACCCATTGGGGAAAGAACTGACTAATGTAGACCCTTAAAAGCATACTTTTTGTTTTTAAAATCTTATCTTAATACCTCTTCAGTTTTATTTTGTAGCATCTCTATAGCGCAGTCTTATCTCCAGAAAAGTATAAAATTAACTTTGTGGGTTTTTGCTTTGTATTTAGAATTTACTTGAATATCCCTATATATATCAGCAGTTTTGAGCTGAAACAATTCACGATCTTACTGATGTCTAAAATGAGTTCATTTGCCTTTCACAATAAAATCCATAGGCGGGCAGTTCTGGAAAGTTATCCAGGATGTGGGTGCAATCTCTTCCTGATATACTACATGACATTTACCTGTTTTCCTTGGAGGAGATGCCTTTTACCGGAGAGCTCTGTGAACAGGGCATTGGCCAGAACTTTGTCACCTGGTAGTCTAGCTGCAAGGGAATCTATCTGAGATCCAAGTGTTAGCTTTCCTGCCTTCACAGAAAGAAGCAAAATTAAAAGTGGGCTGAAAGTAAGCCAACCTGCAAATCAGAGAAACTTTCATTTATAAATTTTGGTAGTGGTTGAGCAGGCCATTGTGGTGTACACTTGTAATCCCAACACACAGGAGGCTTGCAATGAGTTCAAGGCCAGCCTGGACCACATAGTGAGACCCTGCCTCCAAAAAAAAAAAAAAAAAAAAATTGGTTGTGGTAGAAAAGTGAATGAGAGTTCTGATGGTCCTTAATTATATTTTTTTTAACTACAAAATCATAATTTCACCAGAAAAATTTAGAAACTGCATAAACCTTTTGTTGGAAGGCAAACTTGAATAATCACTATAATAAAGTCCATTTACAATTAAACTGGATTTCATAATCTTTTGTGAAATATAAGTACATTTGCACATTCTTTTCTCTTGGCTTTTTGAGTTTTCTCAGCCAAGTTGTTAAAAGAATAGTGTGTTTTAAGCTAATTTTTATTTTGTTCATCTGTTCACCCAGTACAACCTTTCTGCTGTGAGGACAGAATTCTGGCTCTGTGACAGGCGTCTTTTTTTGGCGACCCTCCTTCAAGAGCCCAGCTGCCTATAAAAGATAGGTAAGCCTTAATCTCCCAAGATATTTTTTTTTTTTTTTTTTTTTTTTTTTTCTTTTTTTGCCTTCCTTCAAAAAGTACTTGTACTGTTTCTCTGATCGTATAATCAGACATAGAAAATGCTCTTCCAACTTTTGAAAATTTTTATATTATTAATCTTTTAAGAATTTAAGTTATAGTACTATCAGAAATTGATGGCAGTAATCGATTTTTATCTATTCCCCTTTAGCACATAAAAAAATTAAAATTGTTGATGATCCTGCTTGCAGCATATTTAGAAATAGCAAAGCACAATCTTTAGAAATAAATCCTGAGTTTGGAAACTAACTTTTTCTTTCTTCTTTTCCTCCCCAAGCTTGTTACCTATCTTTTCCTCGTGTATTTTGTTAAACACTTAGTCGATTACATAACAGATGTTAACTATCATTGTACCTCCAACATTTCCCCTTTATGATAGCGTGTTTTTAATATAATGACCAGTATTTTTTACTATTAAAGAGACTTAAAACAAGCTGCCAGAGCTTGATTTCTTAAGGTTATCACTTGGTTTTTTTTGAGACAGGATCTCCCTTTGTAGTTCAGGCTAGCCCTGAACTCATTATGTAGTTCAGGCTGGCCTCAGACTCAGGGTGATCTTCCTGCCTCAGCTACTCGAGTGCTGGTATTACAGGTATTTGTCACCATCCCCGGCTTGGAACCACTTTTTAATTGCTGTATTTGATGCATTGGCAGAATGCTAAGTTCTGTTGGGTTGCAGAAGGTTTTTCCCCAAAATACCATTTGATACTTAATATTTTAGAAAACATATCTGTTGATGGAGAAATAGAAGTAGTGCCAATTCAGGTTGACCTTGGGAATAGAGGGGACATTATATGTATGAAGGATGATGGGGCATAGGGAAGGCAGGATTGCTTTAAAGAGACACACTTGTTTATGGTTAGACTCGTGCTACAGAAGTAGAGCAATGAAAGATGCAGTTATGGAGAGTGAGTCAAACTCTAGCGAACCTGGGAAGCTAGGCATTGTGTGACTAGTACAGGCTTAGGGATGGAGTTAGCATTTGCGATCTGTGAAAACATTTGTCTCATCTATGCCTGACATTTGGATGAGGAAGAAACAAAAATGAGATAAACAGAAATGTCCTATGTGTACCAGAAGCTGACAGTCCATCTGGGGAGAGCTCCTTCAATGGTCATTTACTGGTACAGACATGGAAGCTGCCATTGAGAGTCTTCCTTGTACTAAGTACTTTCATATCTCCTTTTTTTTCCCTTTTCTTTTCTCCATACCAGGGATCAAACTCAGGACCTTGTGCATGCCAGGTAGCATGGCGCCACTGAGCTATATATCCTCAGCTGTACTTTCATGTCTTACATCTCATTTATTCCTGATGTTCATTTATTTTGATTTTTGAGAGATGAAAGATAAGGCCTCATTTTTTAAAATTTATTTTATTTATTTATTTTCTTTTTTGTTACCGGGGATTGAACTCAGGTCATTGTGCTTGCAAGGCAGGCCACCAAACCGCTGAGCTAAATCCCCAGCCCAAGGCCTCGTTTTTAAAATTTGAGGCTATAATAAATATATATATATAAGGATCATTTTAATTTTTTGAAACAGGGGTCTCACTGTGTAGTCAACACTGACCTTAAATTTGCAATCCTCCTGCCTCAGCCTTCAGAATGCTGAGGTTCCACGTGTGTGCCACCTTGGCCAGGTAATGTAATGATCTTTGTAATGATCTTTGTAAGTGCTCTCTGTATAAGTGTCTAGAATTTACAGTTCATATACTTCTGCTTTTAGCGAGCCGTTATACTAGGGATTTGATCTGATTTTAAGTAATAACTAACATTAATTAGTATAAATCCACTGCTTATTAAAACTTAAAGGCTATTAATATAAACTTTATAACTTGAAGAATTGCCCTATTGAATGCTTTTATATGGTTCCTGCCTTCTCTGCATATATTTGGTGGGCTTTTTTAGTTTTCTTTTTCCAACTCATAAGATAGTGTATTAAAGCAGTGTTATATAAGTTCTTTTCCCTTTTAATCACATTTTTCACAACTTCTGGGCTCATGGTACAAGTAAACCAGGTCCTACAAATTTTACAGAGATGAACATGACAAGAAATACTTAAATGGCCACTCTTCTATTTGCCTGGGAACTGATAGAGCTAAATAAAGGTAATTGGTGTTTGTTCGGGTGGAAATCAGATCTGCTCTTAGGCTTGCAATGTAATTTGTAAATAGCTAGTTTTATATACATGCCTATATATCTATATCTATATATGTGTATCTATACGCTTTCTTTCCTGCCTTATGTGTATTAACTTTTTTATCTTCATAGTTGTGGCCATAGTTAACTGATCCTACGATGCCTATAAGACATCGTTTTCATGTACACTGAAAAGTCCACTGCATGTTAAAGAGATGAAAGTGATGGGACACATGTTGAAGTGTCCCAAAGTGGTGCCATTAGTACCTTCATATTTACAGATAAGTACAAAAGCACAGAAAGGGGTGATTTATTTGCCTGAGAATGCAAAATTAATAGTAGAGTCAGGATTTTAACCAGAGGTCTCACTGTAAAGCCGACATTGTTATTCACCACACTTTCCACAAAGTAGGAATTAATAAATTACGGGCTAAGTCCTGCAGAAGTTGGAGCAGTCAGACTGATGGCATAGTGAAAGGGACAGGAGCAGTCACCCTTCCCAGCCCTTTGAGGAATAACTAAGTTTCTTGTATCAATATATTGTGATCAATGGAATTTATGAACTTTATAGTATTCCTTTAACTTAAAACTTAGTCATGAAAACTGATAAACCAGTGATGCCTTTCCTGTGGTCTCACTGTCTAGAACATCTTAGAATTATCAAATAGGTAAAAATACCCCCTAAATTCAAAAATTCAATAAAGCTTACATCATTTATTGTTTTGTTTTGCTTTTGTTTTTGTTTTTGGGTTTTTTTTTTTTTGTTGTTTTTTTTTGTTTTTTTTGGTTTTTTTGGTTTTTTGAGACAGGGTTTCACTATGTAGTTGAGACTGACCTGGAACTCACTACGTAGCCCAGGCTGGTCTTGAACTCAAAGCGATCCTCTTGCCTCAGCCTCCTAAGTAGCTGGGATGACAGGTGTGCGCCACCACCACGCTGAGCAGTTACATCATTTACTTTTAAAAGCATGTCAGCCCTTTGCTACCTCTAAAATGTATTTTTGTAGTAGCAGCCAAACTGGATGGGGTAGCTAGTTCCCAGGCAAAAGTACAATTAACCAAGATAGTGCAGTGAATCTAGGCTTATCTAGATATAAACAGTGATAGCGTTTTAGCACATCCAGTGAAATGGATCTAGAAGTAACACAAGACCTCTTAACTCTTACAGTAAATTGGACTTTGTGCTTTAATCTGAAGGATAAGTTCAACCCGAAGTTTATCTGAGGACATTTGTTTTTATTTATTTTTTATTTATTTATTTTTGGTACAGGGGATTGAACTTGGGTCCTTGTACTTCGCCTGCAAGGCAGGCCACCAAACCACTGAGCTAAATCCACGGCCCAAGGACATTTGTTTTTATAGAATGCTTTGTCTTTGGAAATGTTAAGCAGGGAATTAGTAATTGCTGTCTTTAAGTCTTAGCTTGTGAACAGTAATTTTGTCATTTTAATCTGTCCATGTGCAGTTTGTTTGTTTTGTTTTGTTTTGTTTTGTTTTTTGTAACAGGAATCGAACTCTCGAGACCTTGCATTTGGGAATCAGGCAGCAGAACCACTGAGCTAAATTCCTGGCCCCCAGTTTGTTTTTAATAGCTGTGGGTTAGTGGTTAACACATGTTCTGGAGCCCGATCTATCTAAATGTGACTGTGGACAAGATAATCTCACTGAGCTTAGTTTGCTCATATATTCATAAATACTGAGCAATTTCTGGGTATCAGACAGCATTTTAGGAGTTAGGGATATATTAGTAAACACAAGAGGGGGAAGAGACCCTGTCTTCATGGAACTTACTTTCCATTTAGTGGAGAAAGATGACAATAGTTATCTGTATTTTAGGGTTTTCCCCTAAGATTAAATGGAGTAGTACATTCAAAGCTTTCTATCCTTAGAACAGAATAAATGTGTCATCTGTTTTATTTTTGTAATTGTTTTTGACATGTTTAGACTTACGTTGGGATAAAATTTTAAGTGTATTAGTCATTTCTCACAACTGATAATTAGTAATCATTTAATTTTTGATAAGTTAATGTTCATTTTCTCCTATTTTGAAAGGCATGGGGGAAAGGCTTGCAGTGAATTTCATCAATATATGTACTTTGCTTTCCTTTCCAGCAGCCACCAAAAAAGACATCTAAAAAAGAAAAAACTAAACAGAAAGCCACTTCTAAAAGTAAAAAGTCTGTAAAAAGTGCTAATGTTAAGAAGGCAGATAGCAGCACCACAAAGAAGAATCAGAACAGTTCCAAAAAAGGTGCGTAAATATATTATCAGCACATTTAAAGATAAAAACATGTATGCTGTGGATAATAATAAAATGTGTAAAGAAGACAGGTAAACATCAAAGAACATTGGGGAAAAGGTAACATAACCAGTTTTAAGAGTTTTAAAACTGCCATGAAATTTTCCACACATCATAATATATGAATGGCAATTAAACTAAATTTTTTAAATCTTCTAGAAAGTGAATCTGAGGATAGTTCAGACGATGAACCTTTAATTAAAAAATTGAAGAACCCACCTACAGATGAAGAGTTAAAGGAAACAGTAAAGAAATTACTGGCCAGTGCTAATTTGGAGGAAGTCACAATGAAGCAGATTTGCAAAGAGGTAATTAGATAAAGTTTAGATCATTATTTTTGGGTGTTTTTGTTTTGTTAGATCATTGTGTTTTGACTTGAATACTTTTCACCCATTTCTGAACTTGAAGCTACATCTTTTTGTGCACTTGTCACTGAACAAAATACTTGTTAAACTGTATGCCAGGTAGTCTCAGAAGTAGTGGGAATCCATATTAGTCATAAAATAGTGAAAAGTCTGTCCTAATGCAGTTATTTTATAAAATCTCATGGACTACCTTATTTTTGTTAGTATGGTAAATGAGCTGTTCTAAATTTAAGATTCTTAATTCAGATTTCTAATCTTGAATATTATTTCATAGGGATTCCATATGCTAGATCCAAATTCAGAGGTTTAAAATTTTAGTTTCTTATGTATGGCAAAATAAAATTAAATCTGTACACATACCAAAGGTAAAATTTTTTTTTTTTTTAATCAGGTGGTGGAACCACTGAGCTAAATCCCCAGCAATGATCCATACTTTTTTAAGACTATAGATTATTATTCATTGAACCTCTACTACATATCAGGGACATGGTCAGATGTTACACATTGTGCAGAGAAACCATTACTTGGCTTTAAACAGAGCTTATAGTCCAGTGAACGAGAAAGGGACAAATATTCCAGTGTAAGGCCCTTTAGAACTGCAGCACCACAGAATGTACCTACTTGAGATTGAAGGAGTCTGGAAAAGCTTATGGAAGAGTTATTAGCTGACTTCTTAATAGTTAATAGAACATCAGCTTTTCCATACAGTTGAGGAACAGTGACAATAGTTTTGCAGAACTTTTAAGTTTTGTTTCTGAGTTTGATTTGCTTGAAATAATGGGGACTTGGGAGGCTGTGAAATATTTGGCAGGGATATAACACAATCATATTTTTAGTTTTTTGAAGTTTTCAAAATACCAAGGAGGGTCAGGCAAAGGATGAGACAGGCAGGAAAACTTTTATCAAAAAGCAACAGGAGAGGGGGAAGCAACAGGGTTAGGCTGGAGTTGCAGCTCAGGCAGTCTGGTTGCCTTACATCTGTGAGGCCCTTGGACTGATCATAGTACCACTTAAAAAAAAAAAAAAAAAAAAAGCAAGACTTGCCATAATCCAGGTCAGAAAAAAGAGACTGATCAAATGTTATTTTATTGTGAATATAACAGTAGAGTTTGGGTGAAATAAATCATAATAGAGAATATAATCTCAGAAGAAAACATAGCTTTTGGTTTGGACATTCTGAAAAACACTGTGATTCTATAATTTAGGAGAGAAATCTAGGAATACAGATAAGATGACCCAGGCAAGCCGATAAAGTATGAGATGCACCAAAATAATCCTGAAGACCACTAACATAAGAGTTAAGAAATTCCTACAAATATAAGAAATGATAGTCAGTAGAAGCAAGGCCAGAGGAGTGGTGCTGTGAAAGCCAAGAGACGATCGTGTCAGAAAAGGAGGATAGCACCAGTGGGTAATAGATACAGAAAGGAAATGCTCAGAAAAAATAGACTTTTAAATATAAAATACATTCAGCCTTGTCAGCTAACCTGAGATAGAAATAAAATCAAGCACTTATAATACTACTTGTCCATAATACAGACAAATCAGAAACAACCTAAATGGCCATTAATAGGAAAATGGTTTAATGTGATACACCCATAATTTTTGGAATACTGTGCTATGTAACATGTAGTTCTGTGTACTATATGGAACATGGAAAACTTTATTAAAACAGAATATTACAGAAAGAAACCACTGCCGTTTATACGTGTGTGTGTGTGACTTTTTTTTTAAGTTCTGGAAGATAATACACCAAACTCATCACTGATTTCCTCAGAGGGGAGAGGGACGGGATAGTGAAGAAATTGAAGGGAGATTAGTTTTTTCCATTTAAAGGATTTCTATGACTACATGTATGAAATTTTTTTTGTTTTTAGTACCAGAGATAGAAATGAGGACCCTGAGCTTCTAAGGCAGGTGGTGGCACCACTGAGTTAAATCCCCGGCTTGGAATTTTTTTTTTAAAGGGCTTAAAAAATGAGGAAGTGATTATGTAACGTTAGTGCTGGGGGGGGGGATAAATATAGCTTTCTCAAATGGGGAATTACTAATGAGGAACATGAATCAATTAAATCTTATTTTAAGCAGCTTGAATTTGATGAGAAAATATTTGTAAAAAGGCCAGGAGAGTGAGTGTGTTATGCTGAGGAGCAAGTACTGGGAAAATAGGAGAATCTAGATCTGCAGGTTAATTGAGGGGTGCATCTTCATGAACCATTGATTAATGCAAGCAAAATTGGAGGGGAAAATGGTATAGTAGAAAGTTATAAATTCAAAATAATGACTTCTTGGCTAGGTGTGGTGACACACGCCTGTAATCCCAGTACTTGGGAGGCTGAAGCAGGAAGATGGCCATGAATTCAAGGTCAGCCTGAAATACACAGCAAGACCCGTCTCAGAAAACAGGGCTGGGGATTTAACTCAGCAGCACCACACCTGTCTTACAAGCACAAGGTCCCTAGAGTTTGATCCCCAGTACCAAAAAAACAAAACAATGACTTCTTGGGGGTGTGCTTAAATGTGGAGATGAAACCACTGGTGACCAGAGTGAAAGAAGAATGTGACCAGAGACTAGGGATTGCTGGGAAGTTGAGTACCATGAATTAATGAGACCAGTCTTTAAAGCTTTTCAAAGTTAAATTTTCCCACAAAAACCTATGGCCTATGGCACGCCTATTACTGTGTTTTTCTTTTAAGATAAAAGATGTTAACCTAGGGTCGGGGATTTAGTTTAGTAATCCTGCTGCCTGCCTCGCAAGCTCAAGGTCCTGAGTTCAATCTCTAGTACCAAAAAAAAAAATGTTTTAACATAGAGTTGTTTTTTCTAAACTAAAAGTTCAGTATTCAGTATTTAATTGTAGTGTTGGTACTTTGTGATAAATAAGTGGGTTTTTGGTTATACTGTGGCTAAGTTCGCCACCACTGGCCTTTGGGTTACTGATGGAAAAATTAGTATTTAGAACAGTTTATGGCTGGGGTTTTAAAGGGGGAAGAACAAAAAACAATTTAGAATAATTTAAATGAGTTATCTCCATGAGGGTGGCCAACTATAATCTGGATCAAATCCATCCTACCTCCTGGTTTTGTATTGTAATACAGATACACCTATTCATTCAGGCTTATCTAGCAGCTCTTGCACTACAACAGCATAGTTGAGTAGTTTTAACAGAAACCATGATTGAGCACAACTCAAACTTTACTGCATGGCCTTTTACAAAAAGTTGCTGATCCTAAAGTATGATAGGATTTAAGCAGGCCAGGTGCTTATAGGCTACAAGCATATACAGTTGGGATTTAAGTACAATGAGTTTTAATCCAGGAAAACGTTCGTTAAGTGAGTCACACACAGTATATCGGTGAGTTTACAACTTGAATGTAAGTTACAGACCTACTACTAGCTACAATGGGACTGAGGAAGTTACAAAATTGACAGAAGAGAGGGAAACTTAGAGTCAAAAGTTGTAGGAGTGAGGACTGCAGAGACCACTTAGATCTTACTGATTTAACTGATGCAGAGATTTGACTAGTGTGGACGAGAGGCCAGATTTCAAATTGTGGGACCATAAGTAGAATGTTTGATGATGATTCCGAGAATAGAGGATTGTTTTGAGACAGGGTCTCACTTTGTAGTTCAGGTTGGCCCTAAACTCATATGTGGCTGGCCTCAAACTTGTAATCCTCCCACCGAGTACAGGGATTAGTCATGTGCCACCATGCCAAGCAGTAAGAGGATATCTTTGTTTTTTAACCAGGGATCGAACACAGTACCTTATGTTTGTGAGGCAGGTGAGAGCACCACTAAGCTAAATCCCCAGCAAGAGGACCTCTTCTAAAAGATACTTCACAGATAACCTGCTAGTACTGAGAACTTAACTATGGTCTATTTTAGATGCTTTCCTCACCTATATTTATTAATCCAGCTCCTACTCCCTGTTTATAAAGCAGACATCCTGTTAGTTGATTTTCTGCTTTGTATATGGTACTATCAAAGCTATACATTTGAAATAGTTCTGTATGATGAAGCAGTTTTTTGGTTTTTTTTGTTTTTTTTTTTTAGAATGTGCATACACCTTTATATACAAAGACAGAATATTTATTGTTGGGTTTTATAATCTTTTTTTGTCCTTTTCATCATAGGTATATGAAAATTATCCTGCTTATGATTTAACTGAGAGAAAAGATTTCATAAAAACAACTGTAAAAGAGGTAACTATTTAATCTTTTCCTGCTTTGATCATTTTGGACACAGAAGACTACAGAAATTATATGAAAATAAGCATATTTTTCAAAGTATTCATGCCTCTAAATCACATTTGATTCTTAAATTTCTTCAAACTAGATGGGGTGACATATATTAAAAGCTTGAATAGCTAATGACAGTCTGAACTCAGTCTAAGGTGTGAATCATTGTGTCCATGGGAGGTGAACACCTCAAGATTTGCTTACCAGCTTGAGAGCACATTCCAGCCACCAGCGCAATCCAAGGGAAGATCCATATTTAGTAGGTAGCTTATATGGATCCATCCCAATGACTGCCCAGCGTTACAGTAATAAAACCAATGTGAAAAACTGGAATACAGTTTGTGATTTATGTATGCCTAATTATCTGTTAGGTGTGGTAAAACCGTTTCTCTTTCATTACAGCTGATCTCTTGAGATAGAAGACAAAGATGACTTGTTCCCATAGTTTGGAAGATCTGATTTAAACGTTATACCAGCAAAGAGAATGTATTTCCTTTTCTGAATCCTTGTGTTGGTAAAACTTAATGCTGACCTTTTTATCTTGGGTGTTAATGTAAATTTGAGTTTGTCATTTTAAATCGCCTTTTTGTGCTGTTTTTAGCTTAAAATCTTGCATGGCAGTAATTGTTACTTGCTTTTATAGTTGAATTTTGTACATTTTGAATTTCTTTATATAAGGTTATAGATTCCTGAACTGTGGGTTTTAGTGCACTTAATATTAGCTTGCTTATGACACACTTTTAATCAAGTAGGAAAAAAACTATTATAAGTGGCATTTATACATGCAGAGACTATTGCAGTATTTAGTATATAAAATATTTTGAATACACATCTCTTCTGTCAGTGAACTCAGTGGCAGTGTGTCCATCATGTTAAATTACACAAGCCATCTGGATTATTAAATGAGAACTTTCTTCTGCATGTGTATATATGCCAAATTGCTAGCATGACAGAAGTGACAGATCTTATTTTTGTATTTTTAAAAAACAATTTGTTGTATATAGTTTTTTTATTTCTTTTGTGCAGATCAATTTTTAAACTCATATAGGTAGGTACTTTACACTTGTAAACTATGAAGTGTCAGTGTTAGCCAGACAATGACAGAGCAGAATTCAGTGATGAGAACACTGCATGAACTGTCTAGTTCTGCTTTGCCCTGAAAGTGTCATCAATTTAGTTTTAGTGTTAATTCTGCAAAAGCATAATGTTTCATATTAAGCACAGACAAAAATCAACACATCAAAGCTTCAAAAACTTTGGGACAGGGTTAAGATTAAGTACAAGTACATATGACCTACATTAAATGACTAATTTTTTCTCTTAACTGCCTTTGACCATATAAAATGCTGATACTTACAGGAAACTGGGCCACCTTCATAATTATGGTAAATATACTAGTATAATGCCAGAAGAGAATATGTAGGCAGTAGCAGATATCTCTGGCAAAGTATTTCTCAAAAGTGATAATATACTTATTTCTAGCTTTAAGGGAATTTATAATGTATTTGAGTTTTACATTTTGGCCAATCAGGATTCCACGTGATTAATATATGGACCACCTCTGAATTTTATTAATTTACTAAACCTTTCTCAATTTTAAAATGAAACATGCTGCTTATGACAAAATTGGGTATTTGAGGTACCAAATGAAGTGTTAAAATCGTTGCATCATAGAACAAATAGGCAAGAATAATAGATGTTGAATGTTAACAGGTATTTTCACAGGTTTGACTTGTTCCTTCACAAAGTTAGAGCATTAGGGAAAGGTACACTTAATACGAATGAATGGGATAAGCAACTGAGACCTAAATTTGGCCTTTGGTTTTAAATATTTTAATTTGTTCCTATAAACTTTGTCAATAAAAAAAATCATTGGTGTTTTAAGTCTATTGCATTTTTTTTGATGTTTTAACGTATTCCAGGTTTAAGTATCATTTACCCCTAGGGTCAAGAATAAGTTAACCCCATAACCTGAATGATTTAGAATGCTCTTCTCTTCAGTGATACCTGACCATTCTGAAGTGATTTCACAAAACTATATAGATCAAGGTTAACATTTATTTTATGACATTTACTATAAGGGGGATAAGCAGTAAATGCCTGTGACCTAAATCTATAGAGGGATTGGAGGTAATGGACAGAGTTTGTGTGTGTAAACGTTCTTCATGATCACATGCCCATTTAATAAGAGTATTCAGTGTTCTCATTGCAATATACAAAGGATATTTGAAAAACAAGTTTAGTTTTTATTAAGCAGTTTTGCACAACCAGCACTCATGATCTGAAGTTAAGTGTGTGTATTCACTGTTAACTCAATTACAGAATCTTCAGACAACATTGAAAACATATTCAAAGTAACTGAAAAGTACCATAGATCCTCAGCAAAATGTCAAATGAAGTATGTCATTTGAAAAATTCTTAAATACATGTACCATACTTTTGTTTTTTCCGTGCTTGTAGGTAGCACAGTACAAATCTAAGTGCCCAAAAGAAGCTGAAGTAATAATTTACTGTGAACTATTTTAAACAACATATTTTGCATTTGTCCCTTAACACATGCTATTAATCATCGTTACATAACACTTTTAAGCAGAATACTTCCTATCAGTACCAATGAGTCTCAACCTAAATATCACCATTTCCCTGTGTTCACTTTGAAGTATACAGCTATTAATTTTCTTTTGTATCATACTCTGATGGGATGGTTATGTTACCTAAAGTTCACTGTACATTCTTTGCATAAAATTCTTACAAGCTGATTTTAAATTTCAAAAACAACAAATATTTTGAAAAGTGGCTTTAAAGTTATTTTAGTCCCTTTATTAAAACACCAGTATAATTCAAAGAATTGTTCAAAGACTTTTTAAAACAAAAGCACATTTCTAACCTGTAAACTGAAGTTTCTTGGCAAAAAAAGCATCCTGAAAACCCTGAAACCAATGTTTATTGAACAATTTTTTGTTGTCAAAAGTGAAAAAGGAAAAAGCAGATTGGCCATGTCAGGCTCATACGATAAGGCTTATAAAATATATTTACCGATAACACATTTCTGTGCAGTTTTCCAGTGGACCAGCCAGCCTATGGAAAACTAGACATAATTATGCAAAAAATATTCCTAGAGATTGAATCAATTTTAAAAAGTGAGAAGGACCTTCTATTCTGACAAAATTCTTTTGCTAGTGCTTGCCAAAATTTAAGGATATTAAAAGTTAGCTACCCACTCAAATTTGGCTTTAAGAAAAACAGCTGTATTTTATGCTTATAGCATATAGACTACATCAGCACCCCATTCTCAATTATAAGACCCTTATGCTATATAAGGATTGAGTTTTGCAGTTTCACCAGTGCATGGACAAATATGAGTGGACATCACAAAAAATACCTGAATTTAGTTTCAATTTTTGAATACCCAAGGGGAAAAAATGCACAGTATAAAAGTCTTCTAGAAACTTCATTTTTGCCTTAAACTAGACAGTTTATGGTGTATTTGAAAAAAAAGTTCTACATAAATTTTTAAGTACAGGTTAATATTGGAGCTATATAAAAATATTAAGGCTCACTGGTAAAGATACTGGTTAGTTTTCATAGAAAAAAAACAAATGGCTTTATGTAGTTTGTTAATGATTCCTGCTTGATTTACCTGGTTCTGTAAAGTAGGAAAATTCATTAGCCCAACAAAATGTCAAGTCTCAAGGGAACCTTCAGCCATGGAAGAATCTTATCCAAGTCTCATCTTAAGGTCATATTCTGCCTTATTTTGAAATCCAGAGGACTTCAGCACTAGTTGGCCTTGTGGGAAATGCAATTAAATATAAGTGCTCATAAAGACTTTGGGGATGGTGCTTTCAGAGTGGTAAATGGGTTTACATTTTCAGAACACTTTCAGGTTTGTTATCCAGAGCAGGCACACACACAGACACGCACACACATACAATTGAGGTGTAACCTGTGTTTCAGACTTTCCCATTTGGAGTACAGAAGAAAGCTAGGTCCAGACAAATTCTATTCAAAAGGCTGCAATCTTGCTTGCTTCTCGAACACCACTCAAATACGCCCCTGTAACAGTTTGTGGAAAATGCCTGTTTGTTGCCTGTAAAAATAAAAAATTGCATCATCTGAGATCATCCATTAAAAAATATATCAAAAGATACTACTTTAGGAAGCTTATACTCTGTAGTCTTCCTAAAATAAAGACTGGTGCCACACTAACCTCATAATGACACTACATGCCCATTGCACTTGAACTGCTCTGGTTATTTTGCTGGACTGTGCCAAATTCATCGATTCTGTAACACTCAACTGCCAAGTACTGTATGACATTCATTAAAATACCAGGTATATGTGCCATGTACTGAGTTAAGAACAAAGAATAATAGGGAAGAGAGTGTCAATGACAAACCTCACAGGAATGGGCTTTGAGAGGGTGAGGTAAGGAACCAAGGAAGGTTCTAAATCTACACGTGGCCCTAAAGCACCTCAGCTCAGTCTAAAATTCATCCCTGGGAGTGGCTGACAGCTGTGCCTGGTCTGTAGTCATTCTGCACCTGCTGAGTTCACTCTTCAGCAGATTCATCTAGCTTTAAGATGCCTCATCCCTCAGAAGTCACTGACAAAACATTAACTTACTAGCTAAAACTGAGACCTGTAATTTCAAACTATAATACAATATATGACTGCAGATGAAAGTGCTTTCCAATTCACATTATGTTTGGGATAGGAAGAAAGGTATAACAAAAAAACAATTCTACAAAGAATCCTTACAGTCAGCTATGAGGGGGTACTAGGAACTGTGGAGGCACAGGATAGCATGGGGTCAAAACAACTGGTTTTAAAGTAAATGAACAATTGGGTCGCCAGAGTCTAAATATATTTGCTGTAACTTAAGAGATTCGCTTCAAGAACAGGGTTGAGGCACCAACAGTGGAGACTGAAGTCCTCACAATTAACAGTGAGGCCTCTGGCATCCAGCTGTGCCAGCTGTGACCACAAAGGCTTAATCTTCTGAATAGTGATGTCTGGGCTCTTTTAACCATCAGTTGAGCTTGCTGGAGCTTTTAAGTGACTTTAAAAAGTACCTTGCTCAACTCTAAGGAGTCAGTCAAGGATGGGATTTATAACAGACTAAAGCACACAAAACAGGAAATCTGAGGAAGCCAGGTAGGGTGGCAACAGGAAATAAAACCAAAAGCCTTAATCCTGGTTTAAGAAACAAGTAATGAAGTTGGAAGATTATATCACAAAAACAAAATCTCCCCAAAAGTAGAATAAAAAAGATTTAAATAGGAAAGCAGAGGGCCAGGAATTTAGCTCAGCGGCTCCACCACCTGCATCCTAAGCACAAGGACCCAATTTCGATCCCTAGTACCAAAAAAAGGGAAAAGAATGAAGATAGAAAAATCAGGTAGTAGTCTAAGAGCTCCAAGATGGAATAGACAATCTAGGAAGAAAACAACATGAGAAAGTGATCAGAAGCAAGAAAACTAGCACTGAAGGCTATGCGTTTCTAGATTACAAGGAATGACATGAGACAAAGGATCAGAAATCAGAATAGCAACATCAACAGTAGATCAGGAAAGGAGAGAAGGATCTTGCAGCATGGGACAGCCTGTAATTTTAGATCAGCTGGAGCAGGTGAGAGCCAAGCGAAGAGGACTGCAAGAAAGGGTCCCTATGCTGGAATTAATAGCTCACATTCAGCTGAATTAAAGATGACTGAGGGAAAGGGAGACTGGAGGAGCAGCACACTAAGATAAGTAAGCTAATGACCTAGGGGCCAGTATGACTGCCAAGGAAACCAAGCTGCTGTAGAACCAAATCAAGACCTTCACTCAGCAGTAAACATCTGCAGGGCCACATGACAGAACAGATACCAATCTAATTAATAGTGTGAAATAAGAGAATGGTACAGAGAGACTAAACTACACTTTGTGGGGGTGGGGTACAGGGGATTGAACTTGGGTCATTGTGCTTGCCAGGCAGGCGGTGGAACCACTGAGCTAAATCCCCAGCTGAACTACACTTTCAATCTGACAGGAAGTCAGTAGATAATTCTACCATTAAATCAGATAATGAAATACAAACATGATTTCAGGATGTGAAGGAATCCACTAGAAATGGCCAGAACAATTCAAACTGGCAGCCTCTGAGAATATGAGGTCAGCTCCCACTATTGAGAAGGCCTCAGCTGTCATAAGACTTGAGATTATCTGACTTGGTTTTTAAGCTCTGGGCAGACAGCACTTTAATTAGAAGAAAGAAGTCAAAATATGAGTAATTGGGTTTAGAATCAAGATACAAACCTCGCCAGCAAAAAAGACAGTTCCTTGTATTTCTTCAGCAATGATATCATAAGCCTCTCCACTCCCAAATGTCTTCACAAAACTGTATGCCATCTGGATCCATGGTTCTGTGCTCCACCGAGTGACAAAATACTTCGTGGGATCTGGGACCTCCTGTGTCCAAAAGAAGCAATTATAAAAGATCAAGAAGTAACTTTAGACATGGTGCCACCCAAATTAGAAAGGTACATTCCTGCCTCCCTGTACCACCTGAGTTTATTGGGGTTGTACCCAAAACACTAGTTCTCAGTATGTTCCTCCCACACCTGTAAGCCACACACAAAGCCCTCCCTTCACCCCCATCCATCTGTCAGAAACACATTCTGCCCACCTTCCGGGATCATCATCAATGGCTGAGTTCTGCCCTTCCCTTCTACCGCCTGGCACATGCTGGATAGAAAACGAAAGGAGTCTGGGCCAGGGAGGAAAGGGATGCAGGGTCCTACAGTCACAGGCTGAAATTTCCAACAGGCTTCTCCACAAGTAGAGGGATGTGTTTTAGTTACTAAACTCAGAATGTTGTCTGCTGTCCTCTGACAAGTTCAATATGGCAAATCCTCTAGAAACTGCTACATTCCAAATAACTAATTTAAAATCAGATTTTAGAGGAAAAAGCTCCAAGATAGTAATTACTGTGCAATATATCATATCACTGTTAGACCCACTCACATAAAACTGGCCACCCAACTGGATGCCCTCTCTTTCTTGAATTTGTATAATTTTTAAGTCATTTTACTTCTCTTTCAGCTCCTTAATGTGAAAAAGGCACAAGGTACAGCCATTTACAGATCTTCACAGACTGAGATTTGGAAAATTTGTAAATATAAAGTACCATGATTGCATCAGAGAAAAGAGACTGCTTAAGTGAGGTACAGAGAATTCTCAACAATGGCCTTTATAAGGAAGCTGCAGTCAAAGCTAGGGCTTGGGTAAATACATGATCTATAGCAAATTCCAAACCTGTTCTATCCTTAGGAAAGAAAAGAGGTTGTGTATGATGTGAGAAGGGAAGGAAGACTACCACGTAAAAGGAGGGATGGAGCACTGTTAGAGGCTGCACTATCCCACACCCCGACTCCTATGATGAAGTCCCCAGTACCCACAATAGGAATGTATTTGAAGACTGAGTCTTTCTTTTTTTTTGTACTGAGGATTGAATTCAGGACCTTGCGCTTGCGGGCCAGGTGCAGTGCCACTAAGCTTAAATCCCTGGCCAGAAGACTGAGTCTTTAGTAGGTAATTAAGTTAAACTGCAGTCTGTAGGGTCTCCTCAGAAGAGGAGATGACAAAGGTACACACGGAGGGAAGACTGTCCTCATAGAGTCCTCCAACAAGACTAACCCTCTGCTGCTTGGATCTTGGACTTCCAGCCCCCAGCCGAAGAAAGAACGCAACATCTGCTGTCTGAGCCACTTGTACTGCAATTCTGTTATGGCAGCCCTAGTACACAAACTGGGCAACTGGGAGGAAAGGGGGATTCTGGGAAGCTCGAACAGCCCACTGCCTTGATGCCCTCCACACAGGCAACACAGACGGCTCTGGCTTCCTCCCACTCAGAAGAGCAAGGGGCACACTGAACGAGGCCTCCTTCTGAGTAGGGCTCTCTGACCTGCTCCTTGAACAGCTCCCGCAGGGTGGCCATGCACTGCTGCAGCACCTGCTTATCATCCAGGGTCCGAACTGACGCCACCGCCTCCCCAGCAATCACCGACATCAACACGCTCTGCTGCTTCTGGGGACAGAGAAAAGCAATTCATTTGTGCTTTCGGTAGAAAGTCTCTAAATGCTCAGCTCCAAAGTCCTTGTTCCCACAAGCTGAATTCCATTACATTACTCCTTTCAGTCACCCCTTTTTCCTCAAGAACACACTTTACTCATCTACCCACCCTACTGTCTCTGCTGGGGAAAACCAACTCCACCAGGAGTAATAACGCCACGCTCAGGGTTACCTGGGCTGTTCACGTATCACACCTTATTTCAAAGGTAAAAGACTGAGGGCTAGGGATTTAGCTCAGTGGTGCCGCCACCTGCACAAGGTCCTGAGTTTGATCCCCAGTACCAAAAAATACGTAATAGAGACTGAGAAGGGAAATCTGCAGAAAAAGTAATGGGAAAAAACCTCAAGCTGAAAAGAAACACTGCACTTCGCTCCTACATGAAGCCTTCCTAAAACAGCTTGGAACCAAAAGAACGTGGGAATTCGCCTTTGTATGGTAGCAACACAGCTGCAGGGAAGTCACCACAGCCCCAAGGGCCAGGGGAGTCCTCCCTCTTCCTGCCCCACCAGAACCCTCCCTCCTCAGCACCAAACACATCCCACCTTCCATTTCAGGAGACGCTGTGGAGAGGAAGGTTCAAATTCATTCACTAGACATTCGCTGTGTCTACATGTGGTGTTAGGTGGGGCTTTTTCCAAGGTGGCTGAATCTAGACTATGTGATTGATTCCTGGTGCAATGCTAGGCCAGAGGGCACTAGAATTAAGGGTGTGAGTGCCACTTGCCCTAAGTAGCCCAAAATAAAAAGGGCAGAAGGCACTGTTAAGGTCTTTTCTTGCTTTTGTTGTCTTCCTGCGCCATACACTTGCCCCTCTGCTATGTGCCACCCTGCCTTGGAGGCCAGCTGATTATGGACTAAAACCTCTACAGACTGTGAGCCAAGTAAACCTTTCCTCTTGACTTTGGGTGTTGGGTATTTTGTCTCAGCAATGAGAGAAATGTAACTAAGACACTCATTTACTGCACCACGGGCAATTTTACCTAGGAGGGATTCCCCTCTCAGCCTGAAATCACACTTTTCACAGGCACCAATTCATGTCCCAGGGAGCACCATTCTCACTTCAAGAAAACAAGGCAAACATGAAGGTTCCTTTCCTACAGGAAAATGTCCCAACTCAAGTGACCTCCCTGAATAAAACACACAGCAACAATTCATAGAGATTAAAAATGGCAGAGTAAAGACTTGCAGCAGAATACAGCCTCCATAGGACCTGCAATTAGGACGCCTGGAAAACAATGATTTAATGAAAAAAAGAAGTGTATCTGCAGGAATCAAGAATGAGGCAACACAGCTGGGCAGGGTAGCACATCCTGTAATCCCAGCACTTTGGAGGCTAAGGCAAGATGTTCACTCCAAGTTTGAGGCCAGTACAGGCTACATAGTCAGTTCAAGGCCAGCCTGAGCTACATAGTGAGACCCAGAAAGAAAAGAAAGGCAACAGGAAAACCAGAAACTACAGAGAAACAGGAGAAACCGAAGATAACCCAGAGAAAAGAATGAAGATGTCTGAAACAGTAATTTCAGTTATAGGGCAGAGGGACCCATGTCCGCAAACATAAGCCCAAAGGGTCAGCAGCCCCAGGAAGAAACACCAGACCAGGCCAGCAGCAGTAGCCACCCCACAAAAGCCCATGGTTATTGTAAACTGAAAAGTCAGTGTGGGATTTTTCTCTGAAAGAAGTTCCTTCCTCACGACAGGATAGAGTTTGGAAAAGAAATCCAGTGCAATCCCTGCCATATTTGAAAGTGCTTAATCAGGAGTCATTGTAGGAAGGGATTAATTGTTTAAGCTTGAGGTACTCCAGGAATCAGAAGTCACAAACAGCTACATTTCAGGGTTTCTGGAGTCACCCTACTGCAGTGACTAGGTGGGAGACAGCCATAAGAGATAGCTGTTCCAGGTACTGGTTAGACCTAGACCCTTACTCCCTGGAGTTTTAAACTCAGGCCAGGATCCATACAATGGTCCCACCCTCTGTGGTCAGAAGCCAGGGCAGTGGCATGTGGTTTTCAGAGGGGGCTGGGTCTCAAAGTGTTTGCTGTAAATTCAGGAAACTGCTTAACCCCTTCCCAATGCCTATACCCAGTAGTGCTTGGTGGTTGGTTTACTTTTCCCATCTGCCAATATGTCAAGGACACACCTAGTCGTGGTCAGCTGCCAGGAGCAGAGAGGGGTGGGCTGCACTTCACAAATTCACACGCAGTAAAGCTAGACAGAGAAAGCCATGACTTGAGTTGCACAGAGGGACAGGAAAGCTGAGAGCAGCTGCAGTGGATGCAGCCCTGGAGTGGACACCACTGACCAACTCTACCCAGCAGGAAAGGTGGGGCAGGACTTAGCATTCACATACAATGTGTGTGCAAACAAAGCAGGACTTGGTAATGATGCACTGCTCCTTCCCCATATCTCACGGATCCCAATACTGCAGACCCTGGAAAGAAACCTCTCACTCAACCACACAGGAAGTGTTTTGACTCATTTTTTCTTCCCTTCATTGGATTTTCTGGGGCTTTGGGGTTTTTATTTTTGCCTCTTTAAAATAACACTTTTTACTTTTATTAGTATATGTTTGCAGTACGTAATGATTATATTCAATGTGAGAATTCAGTACATGTACATAACACATCTTAATTCTTTTTATGTCTCCTCCCCTTCCCTCTTTCTTTTGTGTTCTTTTCTGTTACTTTTATATAATTCTGTTCCTCTTTATTTAATTCTATTTTTAATCTCATTTTCTCATCTTATTTTTCAAATTTTACTTTGTTCATTTTCTCTTCCTCACCCCTTCCATTTTTTATTAGTATTACTATCAAGCTTTATTAACCTTTATATATTTAGTTGACTATGCTATTATTGTTCAATTATTTTGTATTATTAATGGTGGTAGTTGATGAATTTAGTAGGTATTTACTGTATTGATGTATTTGGTTTGTCTTTGTGTCTATGTTATTATTACACATCTCTTTTCTATTGTTAAGGGTATCACTGGTAGCTTTGCCTTTGTGTCTCTAACATTAATGCAGTTCATTCCTGGAGAAATGAATGTTGAGCCAATTACACTGTACTCTCCCCCTCCAAATTAACAAAGGTGATCAGATCTGGGGACTGATACAAAGGCCTATTAATAGGAATAAGTCAGTACCTTTCACTAGTAACTCCTAATGTGAATGTCTCAATCCAAAGGCATAACTTAGCAGACTGGATCAAAAAACAACCCAATGGTATGCTGTATATAAGAAATACATTTAATCCAAAAAGAAAGTCATACACTAAGAATCAAAGGATCAAAAACAATAGTCTATACAATTGGAGCTCCAAAACAAGTAGGAACAGCTATCTTATTTTCAGACAAAGTAGACTTCAAGCCAAAACTAATCAGAAGCAAGAAGGTTACTACATACTAGTTAAGGAAACAATTCAACAGAAAGAGATAACAATTATAAATATATATGCAACAAATACTGGTGCACCCAACCTCATAAAACAAGCATTACTGGATATAAAACATCAACATAATTATAGTAGGGGACCTCAATACCCCACTATCACAAATAAACAGGTAAATTAGGCAAAAAAAAGAAAGAAAGAAATATCAGAGTTGAGCCATACTTTCGAACTCAATAGATATCTATGTGCAGAATGCTCCACTTAACACCAAAAGAATACACATTCTTCTCAGAAGCATAGAACTTTTTCCAAACTAGACCATGCTGTAATCTCAGCACTTGGGTGGGTGAGGCGGGAACATCACCTTGAGTTTAAGGCCAGCCTGGGCTAAACAGTGAGCTCAAGGCTAGCCTGAACTACATAGCTAACAAACAAACCAACCACTGGGTTCAAAAACTACAAAAAATATAAAATTATCCCATCCATAGTATCAGATTATAGTGCTATGAAATTAGAATTCAATGGGAAAAGAAATGACAGAAATACGAACATATGGACATTAGATAATATACTCCCGAATAAACAATGTGTCACAGAAGAAATCAAGGAAGAAATTAAACAGCTCTTATAATCAAATGATGATGCCAGTACTACATATCAGACCCTACAGGACACAGTGAAAGCAATCCAAACAGGGAAGTCTATAGCGGTGCATGTCCATATCAGAAAAACAGAGTGAGCCCAAATAAATAACCTAATGATGCACCTCAAGATCCTAGAAAAACAAGAATAATCCAAATACAAAGCTAGTACAAGCCAGGTGTGGTGGCGCTCGCCTGTAATCCCAGCGCTTGGGAGGCCGAGGCAGGAGGATCGCTGGGAGTTCAAGACCAGCCTGGACTACATAGTGAGTTCCAGGTCAGACTCAACTACATAGTGAGACCCTGTCTCAAAAAAGAAAAAAAAAAAAAAAAAA